CGGGGGGAAAGGTGTCCAAGCAGGGGGGGGGGGGGAGGGGGCTCTCCAGGTAGCTGGAGCTTTTGCGCACCTCTTCTCGCCTCTCTTTTATTCCTGCCCAAGGCAGAGTTAACTGGTGTTTTTCCTTTCTTCCTCCTCGCCCCCCCATCTCACTTCCACCTCGCAAGGCTCACGGAGTCTACTGCCTCTGCACACGCACACACACACACACACACATAGGGTCCCCAAAAGCTCAGTGTTGATGAGCTCTTTCGGACCAGTTTTTGCCTTGTATAAATCGCCTTGTCTCACGAGGGATCCCTGTAGAGAGAGAGAGAGAGAGCGTGCCTTGATTTTTCTTCAAAAGCTAGAAGAAAGGCATTCCTAACCCCAGCTATCCGAATCTTGATCAGTGTGCCTGGCATGAAAGGAAAGGAATTAAAGTCATTAAAAAGAAGAAGGCTTACCTATTCAAAAGTGGCTGCACTTTAGTTACCTGCAGGAGATCCTTAGTCACCATAGAGGACCATACCAGCGGCTGTTTATAATCCTGTCGTAATGTTATACTTTATTTTTACCCCTGCAGAGCTCTTTGTACTAGATACTGTTAGTCCTTCCATTTCCACCCTGTCCAGGCATGAATTTCTTTTCAGAATTCCTCTTTGATCCCTGCATTTACAAAAAGCCTTGCTGCGAAGTTCTTCCCAAGGAGATGACCTGTTCAAAGGCATTCCGAAGTTGATTCATATTTCTTTCAGTTCGTTGGCCTCCTCAAATGACCAGTTTATTTCTGCACATTGTCTTGTTTCCCTGCACATAACTAAACACTTTCTTAATTCCAGAATGCAACCCTTGTTTAGCCTGCAAAAGCACCTTGTGGCACCTTAAAGTCCAGCATATATTTTGTGCTTTGCACTACAGCAGTTTGTTAATTTTTCTCATAAGAAACAAGAGCATACTATGAAGGAATACTCCCATTGCTCCTAGACTACCAAGTCCCCTATTCTGATGTCTGTTTGAATACATAGAGTATTGACTTATAAAGTTTTGTGTATAAATTCTTAATGTCTTAGTCCTAGGTACAAGATACTGTTAGTTTTATTTTCATCTATATAGGTCTAACTGCATGTATGTGTTGTGTATTGTAGTCTGATAGACTGGGGGTTTGTTTTAGAAGACAACAGCATGGTTCTTTATACAGGTTTTTAAAAGGAAGGTTTGAAGTCTTACTGTAACAACTTTTATTTCTTTAAAGATGAGGAAAGCAGCTTATAGCAGAAAAAAATATATTGGCAGTGTTGCTAATGAACAGGTGTTAATGTGCTAAATAAACCTTGCAAGAGCTGGAAAAGATTACTGAAGAGTGGTTGCCATGATACACGATTGCTTAGACACATAGTACAGAGTTTTAGGGTTATTGAGTTTAATGTTCTGAATATAGCTCAGAAGAAATGTATGTTAGCTACTACAAGAAGATAGGAACATAATCTTAGGTGGGTAAATTCAATCAATTTTTTAAAATAGTTGACCAGTTATATTCCTATGGATATTTATGCTTGTATGGCACACCATTGTTTTGTTTTAGTTGTCCTCCAAACATCAGGCTTCTTAACTAGCTTATAAAAGTAGGTGTAGTTTTTAAAATCTCAACTGCATTTAGTTTTATTTGTATGAAACTTCCTGAATGGAACATGAGGTTTTGAACCAGATACTGTTTTTAAAAGACATGGGGCATGCCTGATTTTTACGAAAGAGATTGAGAGAATTTATTTTGCTTAGATTCCTAACTAATTTTTCTCATCTTTTCAGGCTCGTTGTTGTTGGAATCGAAGATAAATCCAAACACTGCATATCAAAAACAGCAGGCATGTGCTTTTTGTCTGTATATTTTAACTGTCCTTCTGTAGTACGACTCTCCCTCCACCCACTTTTTGATTTAAGCACAAAAACCACATTCAGCTCTCATTTTGAGGCATGTTAAGACCTGTCAAATATGGGTTAGTGATACTTTAATGTCAAAGTAGAATAGATTTTGATATAAGTCAAGAAGTGCATGTGTGTATGTTCAGCGTAGGCAAGATCTTGTTCTCTTAATTTGATAATCAGAATTAATCTGTTGGATGAGGTCTAGCATTGGTTTACGTTCTACTGAGAAGTAACTGGTCTTTTGTAGATACATCTTAGATAACACTGGCCAAGAGAAATAACAGCAGAAGAATATGTATATGCATATATCTCAACATTAGATTTCCGAGATAAAGGGATAAAATAGTTTGTCATTGTATCCAGTTCTATTCATATTAGTATGTTTCATTTTAACCAGAAAGGTGTCATTTATGTTGTAATGTATCTGTAGTTTACTTAATACTGCCCTGCCCCATGTATGACCATCCAGATTAGACTGAGGTCTCCAGTCTTTTATTGCAATTCACTTGGAGTTTGTGAAAACATTAGATTCTGTTGCTTGTCTGCAACTACAGAATTAGGGACTGGTGAGTCCATAACAGGCTGCAATACATGGGTAACAGTCTACATCTGGTTTGGTGGATCACAGTTTCTGATAATATTTATCTTTTAATTTCCTTTCTGGTAATTATTGTTTTGCACCCCTATCGTTTCCATATATTCATTGAACTCTTACTGAATTTGGGGTATTTAGAAAATGTTGTTATGATGGCCATTTGTCTTAAGGTTCTTTTTGCATGACAGATAACTGCTAATTGAAACCCTTAATTCATTCCTTTTATTTATTTGTTTGTTTGTTTGTTTGTTTGTTTGTTTGTTTATTTATTTATTTATTTATTTATTTATTTATATCTAGTCGAATGACCACTCTAGGCAGTCTTTTGTATACATGGTCAGATGAGGAATGTGTAGTTAACTTGATCATAGATGCAGTGTTCATAGACGTTCTTATGACAGATCTGAGGAGTTGCAGGTTATGTGCCTGAATATGTGACCCAGTTGCATGATTCAAACCTTGTCACATCATTGCAATAGTGTAAGCAGTTAATGCACATAAATGTAGAACAAGATACATGCCACAGATCTCTCTGTCTGACCTCTGTAGTGTTGGAATCGTCACTGGGACAGTTTATGACAAACTGACTTTAGTAAACCAATTTTGGGTCAGGAAAAACAGTGCACAGTCATTCCCTCCTTTGAATTTGTGTAATTCCTTGCAAACCCTTATTGATAATTGCTTCATAGAAGGTACACCATATGCTGACTTTACATCATGTTTCCTGGCTTCTTTAACCTAGTTTTTTAAGTAAAGTAAAAACTGAATTATTTCCATATAGTCAGGCATCAGACTTCAAAACAAGATTGTTCAGGAGGCCATGCAGTCAGTTCTAGTGGTCTTTTCATTCTTCGTAGGCTATGATCCATAAAGCCAGGGAGGCGAGGCCAAACCCAAGCACAGAGTTAATTTCTTGAGTTGTCATAATAATCTTCACTTCAGTGAGAAGAGGCCCTATAAGAACAGGAGTTGAATCCTTTCTTCAGCCATTTACATTCTGAAGACCAAGCAGTGCAGAGATGAAAAAAATTATACCATGCATGAGTAGCCTATTCTGTTTGCCTGTAGTGCTTTTGTTGTTGTTGTTGATTTAAGAGTCAGCAAATTGCAGTTGGTAGCAAATTGATGCATGTTTAAAAGCTACCATAGACATTTCCTGATGTGTGCTAAGTCACGTGACTTGTAACACAATAACAACGGTCTGTGCTAACATCTTAGTTTGTGTCAGTTTACCACTGAGATTTATGGTAGTTGAGTTACACTGGCATAAAACCATTACAGTATTTTAGCTGATGTCTTTCAGATTGCTTAGTGTAGGTATTTCAGGAAAACCAGTTCTCCTTCAAAAAAACAAAAGCAATCATTTTGTAGCGACAATGGAATATATATCATGGAGAGTTTGGAAAGAAACTGGGTGACAAAAGATGTACAAGTAGAGATGGGATATTTGTATTCGTCTTCCAGGAGGCTCACCATCCTGCCTCCTCGCTGGATTGGTCAGCAGTGTAAGGAGGCAGGGAAGCTCCAGCTGGGCTACTTCCGCAATTGGTGCATTGCAGACAATGATGTTTGTGCGCTGCACTGCTATCAGTAAGTGGATGATCCAAATCTGGGGGTAGGATCCAATCACTTTGGCCATCTGTGGTGACAATACTCTTATTTGTCTCCCCAGGAGACAAATATGAATGTCCCATTTCTATTTACAAGGCATATTGATTAGCAAAACTCACTTTATTTTATTGGTGTATTCTGAGCATCATGAGTAAAACCACGACATGAATACCATGTCTTCAGTTGGATCCGTAAAAAGTGAGCCAGCTTCTGTGCCTTTCAGGAATTCTGCTGACTTCATTTGAACTCTGCTGGCACAGAAAAGTGTCTTGCATGGAACAGAATAGAGGATCAGGGCTCAAATAAGTAAATCTTGTCTATACATAGGTGTATAGCAAGGCTTGAGTACAAACTTAAAAATACATACGTTGCATTTCCTTGTTATTCTTTACAGCATTAAGTGTGTATATTTGTACTCGGGTGTTGGACATCTGAGTACATTGAACAAGAATAATTAGCTTATAGTTTATTTTTGGTAATGAACCAGTGCTCCTTTCTTAGTGTGTCTAATTTCGTCATTAGAATTTTTAGGACAGCATATATGAAGCTGTTTTACATCCTGAATTTAGTGTGAGTGCTATATTGTAATTGACTCTGCTTGTTTTAAAATAACAGGAGCATTTCTAGTGAAAAAAAGGAAAGCAGCAGCCCTCCTTTATTATGTGTACTCGTCCATTTGGAGGTCAGTTCCCAGCCTTCTAGTGTGATGAAGGGCAGGTCCCAGAAGGTAGAGTTGATTCTCAAAATAGGAGGCAAATGTATAACCACCCCTGTGTCCCCAAATGGTTAGGCATCAAAATAAGCCTATTGGGAATGTTTTATTATTTTATGCAGTATTTTGAGAAAGAGTCTGAACATCTAAATAAACCCAAGCAATCAGAAATGGAACTGATGCATAAGCACTGGTGGAAGTTAAGTTTGTAGTTAAGCATTATTGATACCAAATGATGAAAGTAAGTCTATAGTTAAACATTATTGATATAAAATAGGTGTATAAAAAGCTTACCAGTTCAAACATTAACTGAAATTATTTAAACAGTAAGTTTATAAAGATGAATTTACGTTTGTATTACTGGAAATAATAACAGCAGTAGTATTTTATCTGAATGTAGCTTGCTTTTTTAAAAATTAAATCTAAGAAAACAATGTAAGGTTAAATTCAGTTGTTGGCACCTGTAGTGGCCCTTTTGAATCAATGAATTTTCAATAAGTCTTTGGTTTTGCAAGCCTCATTGATTAAGTGGGTAAAAGTAGCAATGGATTTTCCACATGGTCTGTTTGAGTATATGCAAGATTGTTTGTTTTTCTGTTAGATCGCTTTTCCGCTGGGAATAATTACAATGAATTCATTTAAAATATACCTGTCCCTCTTGTTTGAAATCTCAGTAATGTAGTACAGCATAGGTACTCTGCACTTTGCTTGTGTTGTTGGAATCACTTCATTTTAGCCTTTAATGTATGGAAGGCATCCATTTGATCATACCACCATTTAAAAATCTGCTTTTATAAAACGTAACTAGAATTTGTTATTCTAGACTGACATTTTTTTCTTAAGAATATTCATTATTTATTAAGTTTATTTAGAGGTACTGTGCTACGTTCTTTGATGCCTGAGAAAAGCTTTCTATTCGAGCTCTTCCTGGCCTTTTCCACATTCTATGAACAAAATTATCAGAAGAAAATAATGTACCTGTGTATCTATACATACAAATTGGAACTGTAGCTCATCCATCTACTAAGGTGCTTCTGGCAGGATTGGATAAATGCCTTTTCGAGGTAGCCAAGATCCTGCCTCTTCGTAGTATTACAAAAAGTAACCACAGTGTGCACTGAAAAGAATTATGCATCAGAAACTAGTGAATAACATGTTATGACGGCCTTTCAGCACTTAGTAGGTACTAACAAACTTGATAAACAATTTTTGCAAATTGGATTTCTGTGAAAAAAACAAGAGATGAGATGACCTCCCTATTCCATCAAGTATATTTTCCTGAGCAACACATGGAGTTTGTCCATTGTGAGGCCTTGGTATGGTATTTTAGACCAAAGCCTACATACTGTAATACAACCGTGCCCAAATAGGATGCTGTAAAGTTGCTTATGGATCACAGAAGGTATTTTGTCATGGGAAATCTGGGTTTTCTTTCCTGTTGGGAGTCTTGCCATTCCCTACCTTTTTCCATATTGTTTATCAGGAATCTTAACTACCTCCCTTGTGCAGTTGTAAGAATAAAAAAACATTTTTGTGAAATTAATTATATGGACATCTAGTTTCTATCCATGGAGTTTTCTTGGCAAAGGTACTGGAGTGGCTTGCCAGTTCCTGCTCCAAGTGGATCGCATTTAGTCAGAACTCTCCACTATGACCTGTCCATCTTGGGTGTCCCTGCACGGCATAGCCCATAGCATCTCTGAATTACTCAAGCCCCTTCGCCACAACAAGGCAGCAATCCTTGGTGTGACTGGAAACCTGGAAAAGACCCTGATGTTGGGAAAGTGTGAGGGAAAGAGGAAAAGGGGACAACAGAGGACGAGATGGTTGGACAGTGTCAACAAAGCTACCAACATGAATTTGACCAAACTCCAGGAGGCAGTGGAAGACAGGAGGGCCGTCGTGCTCTGGTCCATGGGGTCACGAAGAGTTAAACACAACTTAATGACTAAACAACAACAACAATACATGTGTTGGGTAAAATTTTAACTATTTAGCTAGTTTTTTAGCCTTTTAGGCAGACATGTGTAACAAAAAATAATAAATAATAAAATAATAAATGGAAATTCTGTATTTTGCTATCGTCTCAGTACAGTGGTGCCTCAACTTACGACCATATTCCGTTCCAGAAGATGATCGTAAGTCGAAATGGTTGTAAGTCGAATCAAAACAAAACACATTTTAAACCAAACACCATTTAAAACAAACACAATTTAATACCAAACACCTTTTAAACCCACCCACCAACACCTTTTAAAACACAAGAGAGGTCACAACACAGTACACAAACCCTAGCA